ATGTCAAAATCTCAATTGAATTTTTTTCTTTTGTCCTATTTTTTAAAAAAAGTGGCATAAAATTATAACATTTATTAGATAAGCTGTTTAAAAAATGCTGTATGTAAAATGCAACCATCAGTATAAGGAAATACCTGGGACGATGGCACTTTAAAAAAAAACATCAGTGTAGACCAGTGTTTCTTAACCTTTTTGGTATAATGGACCCTTTTTAAAATTTTTTAAGAAGTCACAGACCACCCCCTGTAAAAAAAAATTATTGTAAAAACCATCAATTATTTTTACTTTACTTTATTTTCAATTGAAATAAAATTTGAAGGCTACTTTGTGTTTTTAAAAATGTTAAATTTTTATATGGTTTGCGAATGTTCTTTTCCTCATATTGTGGAGGATTGCTGTCATATCTAAGAAGATAGGGCAAAAGATCGACTCACAAAAAATGAGGGGTTGATAGAGGATTATAAAAATAGCAAATCAGACGTAATCAGGGGGTTGTCCCTTCTGGTGCAAATGGAAAGCCGGTTGGTGCAGAATGTTAAAAATATGTCAGGGATATTAGAGGGTCCGCACTGAATTTGGGGTATCTCAATCACCTAGTTTCAAATATGTATGTATTTTCAACTTTTAGAAAAAAAAGATCAAGTTATTTAAATATTATTGATCCAATCGTCTTAAAAGTAGTCGGTGTACCCCCAAAATATGACCCATGGACCCCTAAGGGGTCCATGAACCACAGGTTAAGAAACCCTGGTGTAGACTATACCAGGCCGTGACACTTAATATTAAAAATTTTTAGGGTTATCAATCAATGTCCTACACATCCCTTGTATAATAATAAATAGCAATTGTTATTGTTTATTATGTTTGGTGTTTGATTTAGCAAAAGAAAATTTACCATTACCAATGGCCCTCTTTTATTGAAGAGTTACCATTTTTTTTTATTCATTGTATAAAAAAAATATTTCCATTGTGTTTCTTAACCACTGAGCTAATTATCTGTTCCCCCAATTTGTTTATCCACTGATAATCTAGAATTTTCGGTTGACTAATGAATTCTAGTTTTAAAAGAAAATTATGATTCTTCCAATTTTTAATAATTATATTGATGGTAGCTGTATCTAGTGTGTGATTATTTTATTTTCTAGATAAGGCAAAGAGATTCAGCTAGTAGGGGAGATCGCTACATGTTGCTGACTTTTGAAGAGCCTCCTGCAAATATCAAAGTATACTATATTTTAATCTTTGTTCTCTTTAACGGTGTTGTATAGTGTCACTTGTGGGTGGAATAAAAGTGAGTTTTTCTTTGCAGGCTGGCTGGAAAGAAAGTTTGGCCACTTTCATGACGGAACTCAAGAATTTGCAATCTGTTGGAATGACTACTCTTGGTGCTGCATTGAAATATGCATTTGATTTACTGAACATAAATCGAATGCAGACGGGTATCGATACTTACAGTCAGGGCAGATGTCCTTTCTATTTGGAACCATCGATCATAATTGTCATCACTGATGGTGGACGCCTCTCGACTACACTCGGTGTCCAAGAGGAAGTGAGTGAAATCAATTTCCTTTGTTATAGTGTTTCTCAATTCTT